ATATTGTAATTTAAAAAATGTATAATTGATATTGTGTAACAGGAAGAAAAGGTCTAAAGGTGCAGGGGAAGTGGGAGAGGTAGGGGAAAGGAAAAAAAGGGAAAAGAAAAAATATGAGAAAAGGAAAAAAATGGAAACAAAGTCTTTGCAAATAGGGAAGGGTGGAGGCGAGTGAAGGGAGGGCAGGGGAAGGGGAAAAAATAAGAACCAAGATGCTCATGTAATGGCACAAGATCCCAGTGATGAATGTAACTGTATTTTAGACCTAAAATGTACCAATAAACTTAATGGGAAAAAAAAAGAAACTCTGACTAAATATGTTCTAGAAACTGGCGGTAGGTGGCCTGATCTGCTTCCTCTAGCCTTGTTAAGAGTTAGATGTACCCCATGTGTTGTCAAGTTTACCCCTTTTGAAATCTTGTATGGGAGGCTGCCGCCACTCCTCCCTAAGTTAAACCTCGAACAGATAACAGAAAATTCTTGTGTCTCTTTACTTCAGTCTCTTCAAGCCTTACAGATTCTTCAGAGTGAGATCCAGGCTACAATACAACAGGCTTGAGAAAAACCCTTTGCGATATTCCAGCCCCATGGTTTCAAGTCAGGAGACCTGGTCCTGATATGCTTGGTTTGCTTGCACCTAAGGCTTGACTAAATGCATTCCCAAATCAGTCTTGGCTACCCAATCTCCCACTTTATTTTGTGTCACCATGTATGTTGTTCCACAAGTCTTGTATTATAATGAAAAAGGGGACCATGAACATCTGGGATTAACCACTGAACACTAATAGGAGTAAACGGGCTGCCCCTGTTTTAGTGCCCATTCTGGTGGGATTAGGAATAGCCAGGTCAGCGGCTATTGGAACTTCCTCCCTGATTCTTCAGGACACAAATTTTAAAGCCCTAAGCCACCAAGTAGCCAGAGATTTGGGTCACCTGGAAGACTCAATCTCCAGATTAGAGAACCAGGTTGATTCCCTAGCTGAGATGGTCCTGCAAAATCAAAGGGAACTTGACCTCCTGTTCATGAAACAAGGAGGGTTATGTGTAGCCCTAGGAGAAACCTGTTGCTTCTATGCTAATCAGTCTGGTGTCATTAGAGATACCTTAGCTACGGTCAGGGAAAATTTAAAGACTAAATATGCTCAACAAAAGGATCAAAATTGGTTTCAAAATCTATTTGACTGGTCCCCATGGTTAACTACCCTAGTTTCTGCTGTAGCAGGCCCCCTAGTTATCTTCTGCTTTTGCTCGTGGGCCCTTACATTATAAATGCTCTGACTAAATATGTTAGACAGAGGGTTGATTTAGTTAAACTGATGGTGTTCAGACAAAATTATGAGATTTTAGAAGACGTTTTAGAAAAAGAATCCAAAGAGTAAATACAGGAATCAAAGATTTGATTAAGTTACAAGAACCAGTGGGGAATGAAGGACCCCAGTTAGCAAGACAGACTCCATATTGTTGCTTGACCCACCTGCCTGCTGTCCTTTATATGAACTCAGAAGGAGGAAACTTAGAAACCTCCTCCCCTTAAAAGGTCCTTTTAGAAATAACAATCAACTATTGTTTTAACAGCAGGACTTTTCGCTTCTGTACCTTTCACTTGCTTTGCTAGTTCTATCCCATAGGGGGGCCTAGAACTGTTGGCCTCAAAGGTGTATAAAACATGTTTGTCTCCCCCTAGTCCGATGCTCGGCTCGGGTCCTGGCCAGTAATAAACTCCTGTGCGGATTTCATATCAGTCTCTGGTTGGTTCTTTCTCGCTGGGTCTAACAGAAAGAATTTGTTTATATTATCTAAGCAGGTTCCAACTGAGTTTCAAACAAAGTGTAGCAGTCACATGGAATTATGCTGGTTCATTTTTTCTTGGTTTTGTAGTTTTAACCCGTATTTGAGTCATATAGTTGTATAAGTACTATAAGCAAAAAAAAAAAAAGCTTCTACTCAATGTGTACAATGTGTATATACATAAGTACAGTATAAAGTTTGTTATCACTGGTAGTCAGAGCCATTTTTTTTTTTTTTACTTTTAAGATGGAAGGGTACAACATTCAAGTTGAGGACACTGTCACATACTGCTAGCAAGAGAACGTCACTTTTTAGAGTGCAACACGCACACAGACGCATATACACACATGCACCATCCTCCTGGGCCCCCAACCCCATCGGGGTGCTGGAAGCTAGCGCCCCTTGGGCTCACCTGCAGGGCAAGCTCCTTCTTCTTGCTTCCCATGGTTCTGCAAAGAAGCGCAGCCCCATCACCGCGGGCTCAGTCAGGCATTCAGGGACGCAGCGTCCCTCCACCCCCTTCTAAGAGGCAGCAAAGCTCTGCACCACCAGCATCCTCGGCGTCCCGAAGCCCCCTCCCCCGCCTCGCGGAGTGGGGCCGGGTATGCGCACAGGCTGGAGGGGCGCGCGGAGCCGCCTGTCGCGCATCACAGCGCCCGCGGAGACGTTCGGACACACAAAGGACAGGGAACCCGGCCGTCCTTACAGTTTCCAGGTCCTACCGGGAAACGGCCACTGCGATCCACTCCCGACAGGTACACAATCCTCAATGCGCGCTGCGTCTCCAACCGACTCAGCAGCACTGGCCACGGTCGCCTTGACAACCCAGCGCCCCAGCCCAGTGGTCAGGAAAGTCCTAGGACACGGAGGCCACGCCCACTCGGGGGGCCTAGCGCGTCCCCTAGCGAAAGCTCCAAGCCAGCTACAGGCAGGAGCGAGTCCCGCCGCCTGCCGGCTGCGGAAAAGCTCTGATTGGCTGGAACATATGTCAGTGTCTGGACATTGAGGCAAAGACCTTGTCCTTGAGTGTGTTGACAATTGCATTCCCAGTCCTGCATCTTTCCGACCAGGGCTGACAGAGCTGGTGTGCAGATTTTCTTCCATTACTATAGACTTCACAATGGGTGCAGGGAGGAGACAGGTTTTGAAGAGTCTGAAAAACTCATAAAAACTACACGCTGAACGTGCTGGCACATGCCTGGCAAGGGCAACTTTCCAGAGACTGAGGCAAGAGGATCCTAAATTGGAGACCAACCTTAGCAAGTTAGTGATTTAGTGAGACCCTGTCTCAAAATTTTTTTTAAAAGGCCAGGGATGTAGTTTAATGCGAAAACCCTGAGTTTGATACCCAGTACCTCCAAGAAAGAAAAAAGGAACTACAAAATTATGAATTGAAAATTAAGTATGAAAGTCAAGTGGAACAAATACAAACACAAAACAATGAACAAACATGGCAGATATTAATCCAAGTATATGTATAATTGCTTTAAATATGAACTGTCTAAATTATACCAATTAAAGAACAGACCGTCAAAGTGGATTTAAAAAACAAGGCCCAATTGTGTGTTATCTATAAGAAACCACTTTTTCCGGTGGCACACACCTATAATCCCAGCACTCAGGAAGCCGAGGCAGAAGGATCACTACAAGTTCAAGGCCAACCTGAACTACATAGCAAGATCCTGTCTTTGAAACAACAAAAAAAATTAAAATAGAAAGATACAAGTTAAAGGTAAAGGAGAAAGCTAGGCCATGATAACACCAGTCAGAATAAAGAGGAAGTAGCTATATTAAGTTCAGGCAAAGCAAGCTGCACAGCAATGAGATTTATCAGAAATAAACAGTGGCATTATATAAAGAGTATGGTTCTTTAGCAAGACAGCAGGGTTTAATGTGTTTGCATTTAACAACAAAGTATCAAAGTATGTCAGGCAAAAACTAATAAAACTTCCACCAAAAAGTAGATAAACTCACTATTATAATTGAAGATTTCAACAACGACTTTTAGAGTAACTGACAGATCCATCAGGCAGAAAATGAACAAGGATACAGTGGAACTGAACAACATCAGTCAAATTGATCTAACTGATATTTATACAATATTTCATCCCTCAACAGCACATGAATGTGCTGAGGGTAGTTCAGTTCAGTGATGCAATGGGGGGGAAAAGCCAGAAAATTCTATAGTGAGGAGTTAATATGAAGAGAGGAATTGGAAGCCGTGGACAGAGCATGATGCTGCAGCATATACCAACAGTCTTGGTGTAGCAGCACTGGTATGTGGCCATGCAACCCTCTGTAAGTTCAGGGTAATGGAAACATGGGACTGAGCATCCTCCTACCTCCTGATCTTGTTAAGCACCTGTTTTCTCTCACTTGGGCTCTAAATCCACCTACTTTTTTCTTGCATTCTGTCCCATGACAACATTCAGTTCTAGGACAATATTTTGCAGAGCCACAGCATTGCTCCACACAGCATTGCAAACTGATTTGCACATCATATTCATTTTTCCACAGTGGTGGATACTCAAGCTCTTGAACTGTTTGGAATCTCCTTTTGAACTTAATTTGCAAAATAAAATTCAAATCAGAAACCAAACTCTTCTTGCCAACACAAAGAAAGACAAGAGATATTTTATTTCTTCTGAAAAGGTTAGATTTCTTACCACATGACCTCTACTACAAAATATATTCACATCTTTGCCAGGCTAAACCTCAGAAACACCCCTGGCTCGCTCCCACTTTACAACTGTTGTCCCATACAATTATTAATAGCAATCTCATCACTTTCAAAAGTTCACAGTTTGGACAATGTGAACACTCATCAATTTTCTTCCAGATGGATCACCTTGGGCCACCCTTGCTTTTCACAATTTTGATTTAATGAAACTTCTGTCTTCTATGTGTGTAATGATATGGGTCAGTGATTTGATTGCTTTGTTCCAAAGCCAGGTGTCTTTTTCAAATTAGACATGCCCTGAGGGATGTGCATTTTTGTTTATTTGGTTTGCTTTGTTTTGATGCAAAAATTTCTAACTTTAGGGGTTATAGAAAATATGTAGTCTGAAAGATTAAAAACAAATTTTTTCTCTTGCAAGTCATGCTTTTTGCCACAAGGTGGTAGTTTACTCAAAAGAATTCCTTCTGAGACCAAATTAGACAACAGGAGCATTTTTGTCAAATATTTTAGAACTGATGTGACTAAAATAAGTCTACTCACTTAAAGAGAAAACCATAAACCAAAGCCGGCTGTCTTCCCCCAGATAACTTCCAGTTTTCATCCCAGATGATAAAAATGTATAAATATATCTTTGTCTAACCTGACTCCTCTGTTTCCAGAAACAATGTTTTCTTTTTTCCACAAGTAACAGCGTGGCCCTCCTGCACCTTGCTCTGAGAGCGGGGCTTGGAGGTAGGTTTTGTAGTAGACCCAGAACTTTGCAGCCAGACAGCCTGGGGCTAGATCCTGAACTCACTCATCTCCTGTTTAAGTGATGTTAGTTTCCTCAGTTTCCTCATCTCCAAAAATGGGGCATATGACTCCCACCTTTCAGAAATGTTCTGGAAAGAGATAATGTCTTTCTAAGTCTTTCAGAGTTTCTTGACAGTAAAGCTAGGGTTGTTGTTGTTTTTCCCATTATGGAATTTTGCCAGGTAGCAGCTCCCCTGCCAAGGGTCACAGTGGCCGCCCCGCCCCACTCCTTGTATTTGTTTGATTTGTTTTCCTTGGTTAGGGTGGAATGAGACCATTACTTCTGGGCACACATGGATAAATGTCAGATACACAAGCCTCCACGTTTGCCCACGTCTAACAGCACAATGTCACCAAACTGACTTTCATGACCAGAAGTTTTAAATTTTTGATGAAGTGTAATTTATCAATTTTTATTTTATGTTCATTTTATGTTGTTCATCCTAAAAAATCTTTACCTACCTCTGGGTCAGGAAGATACTCCATTTATTTATTTTTTCTAGGAATTATAAGAAAAAATATGATGAAAGGAATCATTACAAAGTTAACTTTACATTTAGGCTTATCATCCATATCAAATTCTTTCTTTCTTTAGATAGGGTGGTCTCCAACTTGTAGGTGCAAGTGATCCTCCTGCCTCAGCACCTGCATAACTAGGACTACAGGTGCACACCACCATCCCAGGCTCCTATTCATTTTTTAATTGAAATTTTTTATTGAGATGATTATAAGTTTACATAGTTGTTAAAGAATAGCACAGAGAACCTTTGTATACTCTGATCCAATTCTTTCATTGGTAATAAATATTTAGTAATGATATTTAGTAAAACTACAGCACATTGTTACAACCAAGATACTGGTGTTGATATAATACACTCATCTCAGTCAGATCTCCCCAGTTTAAATTACACAAATTTGTGTGTATTAAGTTCTATAAAATTTTAGCACCTGCACAGGTGTCCACTGCCATAGTCACCATTCTGGATACACAGGTCCCTTGGGCTGCCCTTGAAAATCCACCCATCCCCCCCCCCATATCATTCAGTTTCTAGAAATCTGTCATTTAAACAGTGTTATATTAGAAACCTATATAATGATATCATACAATGTAACCTATGGAGATTGGTCTTTTTCACTCAGCATAATTCCCTTGGAATTTATAATTCTCCTGGACAGTTATCCAACTTGTTGCACATATCAGTAGTTTAATTCCTCTCTATTGCTGTGCATTCTATGGTTTCAGTGTATCCAGTCTGTTTCAAGTTGCTTTTTGTATGAGATATGAGTTAGGGATCAAGATCACTTCCCCCAGGTGTATTTCTAGCTATGTGAGCACTTGTTGAAAAGGCTTACCTTTACTTCACAGAATTGCTTTGGCCATATGAGTGTGAGTTCCTTTTAGGACTCTATTCTACTTAATTACTAGTTGTATAGTAATCACCTTAAAATCAGATAATCTAAACCCTCTAAATAGTTTTTATTTTTCAAATTTTCTTTGGCTATTCTAATTTCTTTGATTTTCATATAAATTTCAGATTCAAGCTGTCAATAGTTTGTAAACTATCCTGTTGGAAATTTGGTTATGATTGCATTGATTCTAAAGATTGACTCCAGAATTGATATTTTGTTAATATTGAGTCTTCCAATGTGTAAATATGATGTATCATTCTAGTTTTTCTGTAATTTCAATCATGTTCTACAGTTGTTGGGGAACCTTAGAACTCATCCTCTTGCAGGCGGTGCCTTCCCTTCAAGATGTGGAAGTTGTGGGGGTCACCAACAAACCACAGATCTGAGCTCTTATCCCAGCAACTTCCTCTGACTCTTACTACAGAGCCTCAGGTTGCCATCGTGCCCAGCACTGAGGCCTGTGCTCTCCACCATTCACGCTTTCTGAAAAGTTAGAGGAGGCGGCAAAGAGCCATTCACTCTGAATGACATCCGGCAGCCAGATCATTGGGCCCTCCCATCAGCGACATTTTGCAGTCAGTCTCATGCTTCTGAACATTTTGCAAGCAGAGGTTTTGATTGTCTGTATTCCTATCTTTTCATGAGTGTCTATATAATGAGAAGCCTTGAGAGATAGTGATAGAGTCTCCTTGTGAAGCAAAGGAAAGGTTTGCTTACAGTCGTAAAAGACAGAAATAGTGTCTCCCTCTATAGAAAGCATATTTACTTAGCTGTATTCAATCTGCTATTAAACGTAAGCAATGACATGCTGATTTCAGTTATTGTAATTTTGTTTTATACTGCCCCTTTTATTTTTGTATATTTCACCCCTCTGAGCACATTCTCTCTCCTTTCATCTATTTTATTTACCTTTTCCTCTATTTTATTCACCATGTTAATCGTAAGAAAAATGTTTTGTTGTCATTGTTTGTGTTTTGTTTTATTTTTGGTTTTCCACCGAGTCTCACTGAAT